CAGTTTGTCCTTCATGAGCCTTCGTAGACAAGATGGCGGCTGCCAGTAGTGGCGACCCACGACCATGGAGATATAAACAGCATGTTTTTTATTATTGTCATTAGTGATTATCTCAATTTCGGCTAAAAGAATTGACAAAATCCTACACACTGTGTCTTTAAGCAAAGGAAAAAAAGCTTTCTGTCTTTGATTGCGGTCGGATTGTTGAGCTGCATAAACAAGGTCTCTTGCGGCGTGCCATTGCTGCAGAGGCTGGATGTATTTTAAACTTCCTAAAAGATCTTTAGGGTTATGGAAAAAAAATTCAAATGGTAGACCCAAACAAATTTCACCAGCCCAAACTGGAGGATCCCATTGGCTTTCCATCAAAACACAGCACAATCCTCAGCCCAAATTAAGCTTGTCACTGGCGCCAACTGCAGTCCCATAACCATCAGACGGCATCTATGAGAGAAAAGAACAAAAAATGTCTTCAAAGTACTTCAGTGGCACAAAATTACTTGTTTGGAGTCAAATGGCAGCTGGTGGAGATGTTGCAGTGGGTATATCCCTCATGACTGAAGACCATCATCTGTGGTAATACCTGGGTTTTTCAACAGGACAACCTGCAATTCACAATACCCACCTGACACAGGTCTTCTTACAGAGAATAACATCACTCTTTTGGACAATCCTGCGTGTTCCCCTCATCTAAATACAACTGAGAACGGTTTGGATGTCAAAGGAAGTTTACAAAAATAGACCAGTCAAAATAAAAAACAATCTTTTGCAGCAGCCCTATTGGTCTTACATCATTATATTGTAGATATTAGCAGCACAGTGGATTAGTGGTTAGCACTGTTACCTCACTGCATGAAGGACCTGAGTTCGATCCCCCGTTTTCTCCTCATGTTTGTGTGGGATTTCTCCAATTTCCTCCCACAGTCCAAACACATTTCGGCTGCCATCAGGCCTCCTGCGATTAAATAAAGTTAAAAAATAAACACCTTGGATCACTTTAATTCATTACCTCCGCCAATGGCGAGGTAATGTTTTCTGTCATGGATGTCTGTCATTCTGTCTGTGGACAACATTACTCAAAAACTTGTGGACGGATTGTCATGACATTTACACCACATGTAACTACTGGGACAAGTAACACACCATTAAATTTTGGTGATGTTCCGGATCACGATGCCGATACAGGAATTTTTTCTTTTAATCCTCTCAGATCGGCAAAGCTGTGATGCTTTCACYGGGCTTCTGTAAAAAACTGTGACAGCTTTCAGTGTTTGGACTTCAAACTTTATAAAAGTAATGTTAAAACCAGATGTAATGATGAATAATTCTTGCCATAATGTGCGCATTTAGAGAAGTTTTGTGACCAGGAAGTGCGTGACTGCACCATGAAACCTATTTTGCCCATTTCCTCAAACACACCACATTGTCGGTAGGCTTGTACACAGATTGATGAAGACTGAGGAAGAGGAGTGACGCGGTGGACTTCAGACTCGGAGGTTGTTTGTTTGTTTGTTTGTTTGTTCATTTTTATTATAATTTAAATGAGGCCAGATCAAGTCGAGAGCTCTTTGTGCGCCCCTCTATCCACCTCTCGCCAAGCTTTGGGGGGAAAAAAATGCGCAGAGCGTGGTTTTGACCGCTGTGTGTGGTCCTCACAAAGATAGGAAGACGTGTGTGTGTCTGTGTGATCAGACGTGTGATGAAAACTCTGCTTTTTTGAATCATGTAGCACCGATGTGAAAGCTTTCAACAATAACGGCGGGTGGCGAGTCTGACCTTTTTCCTTTTTTTTCACATTGGACTCCATCGGGAAGAAATCCCGTGCATACTGCTGCTTCAATGATCGCTACGTCAGAACTTATTCAGCAAATGTGTTTCCATCTCTGCTTTTCTGCATTAACTCTATTACAGGATGGGGGAAATTGGACTTGGTGGAGGTTTGCACTCTCCGAGTGCTTCTAGTTTTATAAAAGTGATAGAAATAAAATAACCTTTTTAAAATCATCCCCTTCATTGAATACTTTGAAGGTCCTGACAGAACTCTTTTTCTGCTGCTGCAGAGGTAATTTAAATCAGGYCGTTACATTTATTCCTAATTAATTAATCATTTCTGTCCCGAAGAAGACGTCACCCTCGTGCTTCAATGACAACCATCCGGTTTCACTGGTCATGTAACCCCACCTATTCAACACCGTACTGGACTCAAGAATTGTCACTACTGTTTATACATATAATTTTCAGACCATTGTATTTCACTCTACACTGTTATTGTCTTAATTTTTGGTACTTGTATATTTTATGCTTAGTGTGCTCAGTTATATATTTATCTATCCCAGTTGTTAGATAGGTGTAGTGTAATGTTTGCAACTTGCTGTATGTTTGGGTAGGAGAGTAACGCAATTTCAGTCCTATGTATGTCTTGTACGAATTGACAATAAAACTACTTGAGACGTTTTTATTCTCTTTTCACCAGATTTTTCATGCTGCTGCAGCCTGACAGGGTATCATGTGACACATGTTATATTTTGTTGCAGTAACCAGAGTAAAGAGGCGTTTGCTGATTGGGCGAGACATGATGACGCTCAGGATCACTTCTGTGAGCTGGATGGTGAGACTTTTTTTTTCTTTTAAATATGACCTTAGATCAGCTTCAGGCGGCTCAGTGGGTAGAGCTGATGCCTCTCAGCAAGAAGGTCGCCGGATCAAATCCCGACCCTGGGATCTTTCTGGGTAGAGTCTACATGTTCTCTCCGTGCATGTGTGGGTTCTCTCCAGCCTCCTCCCACAGACCAAAAGCATGACTGTTAGGTTAATTGGTAACTAAATTGTCCCTAGGTGTGAGTGAGAGAGTGAATGGTTGTTTGTCTCTATGTGTCCCTGTGTTGGATTTGCGACCTGTCCAGGGTGTACCCCGCCCCTCGCACTGTGACTGCTGGATATGGGCACCAGTAGGAAGAAACGGGTATAGATAATGATGATGATGATGATGGATCAGCTTCAGTCTGAGGCCATGGTTCTGAACCTAAAGGACAGAGCGTCCCTTCTGGGTTGGGAGATGTCTTTGACTCAAGCAGAGGAAAACTTGTTGCTGAGTAATTGTAGGATGTATCAGGGACTCATCCGCAGTAATGAGGGTGTCGCTCCGATTTGTGCTGTTGGAAGAAGGCTCAAGTTTCCTGGTCCAGCTTCATTTCAAGTCCTGTGATCATGAC